GAGGCTGAACGGCATTGGCTTTACCTGGCACGATCCTTGGGAAGGAACCAAACACTAATAAAGATTTCTACCTATTTTCGTGGACTTTTATGGCTGCGGAAGCGGGATTCCTGGCGTCCCGAGGCTCTGGGACCATGGCGCTCTCCCGGGCCGGGCGGCAAGGACAGCACCTGGAGGGGGAGGATTAAACCCGGGGTGGGCACTTTATCCCAGCGGGGATGGCACCCATGAGGGATGGCACGGCCGGGATCGCCACCTGAGGATTCCTGAGGGATTCTCGGGAGGTCACGGAGATCCCTGACCCTGGGAAAGGAGAATGCATCTTCCACGGGAGCAGCCGCGGGGCCCAGACCCCGGGAGGACCGGGGACACTTAGGGGAGGGAAGGGGGGGAAATGAGGGAAAAAGATAGGGGAAAAGGAGGAAAAAATGGGGAGGGGAAAGAGAGGTTTAAAAAACCAGGGGAAAAAAAAAGAAGAGGTGTTTAAAAAAGCGGGGCAAGAAAAAGAGAGGTTAAAAAAAGCAGAGGGAAAAAAAGAGGGGAGAGGAGTGAAAAAGAGAGGAAAGGGGGGAAAAGGGGGGAAAAGTGGAGGAAAAAAGAAAAGAAAGTGGGGAAAGGGGGAAAAGGGGAGGAAAATAGGAAAAAGGGGGGTAAGGTAGAGAAAATTTAGAGAAGGGGCGGGGGAAATGGGCGGGGAAAGGGCGGGGCCGCCTCTGAGGGCCGCCCCTTCCCCACCTCGGGGCGGGACAACGCCTCAGCCCCAAGATGGCGGCGTTACCTTCCCAAGATGGCGGCGTTACCGTCCCAAGATGGCGGCTGTCTCCTTCCCAAGATGGCGGCTGCCACGCCCCGATGTGGCGAATCCCCTCCCAAGATGGCGAAAGCACCCTCCCAAGATGGCCGCGGTCCCGCCCCGGCCGGCCGGCCCCGCCCTGCGCGCTGCACGCCGGGCGCGCGGGGCGGGCTGAGGGCGCGGGCCGGTCGGGCCTGGTGCGGCTGCGGGCGGTCGGAGCGAGCGGGGCCGGGCAGGGCAGGGCGGGCGCCATGCCGGAGCTGGCCGTGGACAGGGTGGTCGTGCACCCGCTGGTGCTGCTCAGCGTCGTCGATCACTTCAACAGGTGCGGCCGGGCGGGAGTGGCGCCGCGGCGCTGAGTCACGGCCGGGCCGGGAGCGGGGCCCCGAAGGAGCCCGGGGCCGGGAGGGGACCCGGCGGAGCGGGAGGGCCCCGGAGCCGGGAGGGGACCCGGTCCCTCCGGCACCCCGGGTAATTTGGGCCTAATTCCATCCCTCCCGCCGGTGCCGAGCGGTTCTGGAGTCAGAAGTGAAGCCCCAAGTCTCAGGAGGGGGCCGAGCCCGCGGTGGGTGACACGGGTCGCTTGCTGCTCACTGTTGGCGTCCCCCGCCAGTGACATCGGCCCGTCCCTGGGGCCAGGCTTTGGTTCCGAGGCACCGGCACGCCCTTCTGTGGCTGTAAACACAAGCAGTGATAACACATAACCCCTCTCTTCCACCCCCGCTGTGCGTGGGGGTCCCTTCTTCCTCCTCCCCGTTTGTGGCAGGGACTGACAGTCGTTTTTCCTTTTAGAATAGGAAAAGTGGGAAATCAGAAGCGAGTGGTTGGAGTGCTTCTGGGCTCCTGGCAGAAGAAGATCCTGGATGTGTCCAACAGTTTTGCAGGTGAGTTTGGGTGTCCTGCCCTTCTCCAAAGCCACTGAACTATTTAGTGGATGTAACAGATGGATTGTGTTGGGGTTTTTGAAGAAACCCTTGGTCTGTCCATCTACAAATCACCCCATATCCAACAACCAATGCAAACTGCTGTGACAGCCCTAAGTAAAGCTCACTCTCCTTTAGCAGCCAAAATTACCCAAACTCAGAGCATTTGGATAAATATTTTAATTCAGGAAGTTGGATTCTTAAATGCTGGTGTTTTGTTTTATTCCCAGTACCTTTTGATGAGGATGACAAGGATGATACCGTGTGGTTCCTGGACCATGACTATCTGGAGAACATGTATGGAATGTTTAAGAAGGTCAATGGTGAGTCTGACCACTGGTGATTCTGAAATCAGAAATGTGCTCCCAAAAACTTTCAGGGCTGTGGAAAAGGGAATTCCTATTAATTGCAGAATCCTCAAGGTTGGAAAAGACCTATAAGATTATCGAGTCCAACCATCAACCAGCACCACGTGTTCCCCACTGTGTCCCACATCCACGTAGTTTTGAGCACTTCAGGGAAGGGACTTGTATCTCAAGATGTCAGAGGTGCAGGCTATCGGACCCTGAGAACAATACAATTAACAGAAGCTGTTAATTACTCAGTGAAGGGGCCAGAAGAAAAGCTGAGGGTCAGTAACGGTGATGAGTGAGTGTGGTCACCGCTCAAGCCATGGCCTTGTAATTCATTTCTCTCTCCTGCACACGGATCAGACTCTCATCCTCCGTCAGCCCACCTAGTCTCTGCCCAGGTCTCTCTGCTGGGGCCTCCCCACTGGTCTGATTCCAAATCCTTTCTGCTTTTGCTCAGCCAGAGAAAGAATCGTGGGGTGGTACCACACGGGCCCAAAGCTGCACAAGAACGACATCGCCATCAACGAATTGATGAAGAGATACTGCCCCAACTCTGTAAGTGGGGCCACCTTTGGCCCGTGGGGTTGTTCTTCTCTCTTTCCCTAAAAGGGGCATTGGGGAAGCCTTATCCCCCACCTGTTTTGCTGGTGACACAGCATGGTGGCTGTAAAGTGATTGAGGAACTGTGATCAGGAGTTTCTTGATTCATTGAGTGCCTGAGGTTACCCCTCTGAGCAGCCTCGTGCTGGTGCTGAGGAGGGAAGAGCTGTCTTGGCTATTTTTTTCCTACTCCTTGACCAAAGTCCAGTTTTCTGCACGTTTTCTTTCTCCCCGAGGTGCTGGTGATCATTGACGTGAAGCCAAAGGACCTGGGGCTGCCCACAGAAGCCTACATCTCTGTGGAGGAGGTCCATGATGTGAGTTCTCAGTGTGTGAAGTGTCACAGTCCCAGCTGGGAGCACTCAGAGGCTGTCACTCGTGGGTGTCACTGGCTGCAGGTGCTCCCAGCTGTGCCCAGTCATTGTGGGCCTGCCCTGAGCAGCTCACTCCTCGCTGAGCCCCATGCAGACAAACAACACCCAGCAGTGAGTCACTGTAATTGCTGCATTTAAATTCATTCTGGATGTCTGTAAAATACTGTATCTTTGTGCCTTTCCGAGGCCTTCACTACGGAGCAGGAGCTGCTCTCCCAAAATGCAACCAGGTTGGATCAGGGAGGAGGGAAATAATTGTGATATTGAGAATTTCCATTGCTCCCCCCTGGGCACAGAGCAGCAAAATGCAGAAATGGGAAGTTACCCAGAGGAGGAGAGATTGCTGGGGCAGTCGGTGACACTGATTAAATCAAGGACATCCCAGCTAGAGCCGTTCTCTGAGATCCCTTGTGGCCTGTGTGGGGCTGCTTTTCTGGTTCCCTCAGTGCAATCCCTTGTCCCTGTCTAAAACACTCTGTTTGTGTCCCCTCAGGATGGCACCCCAACCTCCAAGACCTTTGAGCATGTGACGAGTGAGATCGGTGCCGAGGAGGCCGAGGAAGTGGGTGTGGAGCATCTGCTGAGGTGAGGGGACAGCTGTCCCGGGCCCTGCCCCGCTCCCAGCGGCGCTCCCGCTGCCCGAGGAGCACACCAAACACACGGCATAAATCCTGGGAGCCTGCATCCCATCATCCCACAGCTCTCAGCTGGAAAGGGACGGTGCCCAGCGGGGTGAGGTTCTAATCCCGATTCTCTCTGGCTTTCAGGGACATCAAGGACACCACGGTGGGCACGCTATCCCAGCGGATCACAAACCAGGTCCACGGCTTGAAGGGACTGAACTCCAAGCTTCTGGACGTCAGGAGCTACCTAGAGAAAGTAGCCCTGGGCAAACTCCCCATCAACCACCAGATCATCTACCACCTCCAGGACGTCTTCAACCTGCTGCCAGACGTGAACCTGCAGGAGTTTGTCAAGGCCTTTTACCTGAAGACCAACGACCAGATGGTGGTGGTGTACCTGGCCTCGCTCATCCGCTCCGTTGTGGCCCTGCACAACCTCATCAACAACAAGATTGCCAACAGGGATGCAGAGAAGAAGGAAGGACAGGAAAAAGAAGAAAGTAAAAAGGAGAGGAAAGATGAGAAGGAGAAAGACAAGGAGAAGAGTGATGGCAAGAAAGAGGAGAAAAAGGAGAAAAAGTAAAAGGTGTAGGTTTTTTTTTATTTGTAAATTAAAAATCTTGTAAACTAAATCCCTGCTGCTGGGGTCTCGTATGTTGTGCTCAGCACTCTGCTCCTCCTCAGCCAGGCAGGGTTGGGGGGAGCCATGTGGAGGCTTTTGATTTGATTTTACTGTTAGACAGCACTTTTCCTTTCCCCAGTGCATCTTTGGGGATGTTGAGGCCTCAGCTCATGCACACTGCTCTCATTGAGCATATTCCCATGGTCCAGGGCTAATCCTTTGCCGTCAGCCACTTTGGTGCAGCATAGGCATCCCTGTGTTTAACTGGCTCTTGCCCCAGTCCCTCGGGGTGTGGCACAGCTGGGATGTTGTCACTGCTGTCACAGTGCTAGAGGCCCCCAGCCCCTCCCTGGGGACAGCGCTGGTGGCCCTGTCACCTCTGGCTGGGACCAAGCAGCTCTAGGGGCTGCAGGAGGCCATGAGCCCAAGGAGGCACTGAGGCCATCACCAGTGACACAGAGCAGGCAGGGACCAAATCCACGGCATCTGTGATCCCAGTGCTGAGCTCCAGATGCCATTATGGCCCTGGAGCCCCAGCCCTGCACTGACCCCAGCCAGGGTGACAGGCACTGACCCAGGACAGGCACAGACCCAGGACAGCTACAGACCCAGGAGACACAGGGACACAGGACACACACGCAGGGACACTGGACAGGTACAGACCCAGGACACACAGGGACACACAAGACACATGCACAGGGACACAGGGCACACACGGGACACACATACAGGACACACAGGGACCCAGCACACAGGCACACCTCGGCAGCTGCTTTGTTGTTTATTGCACACGAAGCCGCGCGGGGCAGGCGGGGCCGTGCGGAACCGGCCGGTTCCCAGCCCGGAGCCGTTCCCGGGTCCCGTCTCCACAGGCCCCGGACACACGGACACGCCGGGTGTGTCGCCCGCACACACGGGGAGGGGCAGAAGTGACATCCAGGTGCTCTTGCCCTCACTGCAGCCTGTCCAGGAGTGTGGGCAGAACCCAGGATCCGAGCGAAGGCCTGGCAGTGCCCGGAGCCCCCGGGGCTGCTGTGGAGCACCAGCTCCAGGCAGAAACCACTTCAGTACAACTGCCCAGGGGCCACAGGCTGCAAATAGGGACACATCACGGACACTCAGCCAGGCTCTGGCTCCAGTGGCTGTGTGTCTGGCCTGGGAAGGGGCTGTGCTGGCAATGAGATGGTGTGCAAGAGCCCCTCAGAAGCATCGTCGTGGGGGTCCCTGTCACTGAGTGCTGGCTGCAGCATGGGGCCCAGAAGTCAATCTGAGAGCCATTTTCCTCCTCATTTGCCACTACCAAAATGCCATGAAAAGGCAGAAAACAGGAGGGGGGGGAAGAAGAGCTTCTACCAAACACGGAGCTGTGTCTGCAGGGGGGCCGGGGAGCCCCAGTGCCCCCTGTGCTGCCCCCCAGCCCCTCTGTGCCAGCCCTCGCGAGCCAAGCCCTTGTGTCCTCCTCTCCATCACACCTCGGATTTCCTTAGGGAGGGAAACAGCCCCGTTCCCCCAGGGCCATGTCAGTGCAGACCTGGCCCAGGAACAAGAGCCGCAGTGTCCATAGGGGCCTGCGCACATCCCGGGGAAGGCTCGGCCCTGGGCACCGGCCAGCAGCGCTCCGGGAACGCCCCACAGCTCCATCACTCCTGTCCAAACCCTTCCGTCTCCTCGATGGCGTAAAGCAGCTTCTCCTTCAGCTGTTCATAGCTCTTGTAGGGAGGGAGATCCAGGCGGTTGAAGCTGGGGAGAGAGCGGAGGCTGGGACAGGCCAGGAAGAGCAGTCCCGTGCCACGGGATGGAGAGCCCGGCACAGCCCCGCAGAGCTCCCCGTGTCCCCAGCCAGGCCGAGGGACAGTGACTTACCACGTGTGGCTCCGTGGCAGCCACGTCTCTTTGCCAACTTTATCGATGCAGAACTTCTGGGGCCCGTTGCTGCCTGTTAACGAGGAGCACAGCAAAGCTCTTAACACCATCAGGAGCTGGAAAAGAAACCCCTCCCACACACACTGAGATCCACTGCCACGGCCCTACGGTCCCAAGCTCACACAGGGCACAAATCCACGGCAGCAATCCCTGCCTGTTTGCAGAGAAGATGTTCAAAAAACAAAGGAGAAAGAAAGTAGCAGATTGAGAGCACAGAGGGGCAATAGTACCATCTCTGAGCACAACGGTTCCATAGCAAGGGCTAAAACTTAGTGATCTGCAAACCCTCGGGACTGTGCCAGTCCATCCAAGAGTTTTAAAGGACCTGGCACAGGAAGTCTGAGTCACTGAGGTAGCTTTTTAACATATTGGGAACCTTGGAGAGGTTCCAGGGGGTGGAAAAAGCTAATGTGCCAGCAAGAACAACTGAATGGGTTAAGTGAGCTGGTTGGCTTGACATGAATGCCAGGGAAGTCAGGGAAAGGCTGGTATAGGCCCCAAAAAGCAGTACATTAAAGGATGAGTGGAACTACACTGTGGTTTTCTCAAAAAGAAGCTTTGTCGCACAAAAATCAAAATTGAATCAGAAATCCAATCTCATTCAGATTGAGATCACAAACCAGCCCAACAAAGTTAACCGTGGCGGGATGGTCATGGCCAAAGAACGTGTCTGGAAATGGCACAACACCAGATGGGATCACTGTGCTCAGACCTCACAGCTGCTTTCCTACTCGTGTGCTCTGTGTGGGGACAGGGACAGGAAGGTGCCACCCCCTGGCCCCCCAGGACACACCGATGAGCTCAGCAAAGCCCCCGACGGGCAGGCGGCACGTCCCCGTCACGAACTGCAGCAGCCGGATCCTCTTCTCATTGTCCATCTCCTTAACCACCTGCAGCAGGAACGCAGCAGCTGAGTGGGATCCTGGCCCCATCCTGCAGGATGGCTCCTGCCAGGGCACCCCACGCCCTCAGCTGGCTCACACTGACCTGCCAGAACCACTGGATCTGTTTGCTGTTCTTGGTGTAGTGCCTGTAGATGGTATTTTTCTGCCAGTCGTTCATGTCGATCTCCTGCATCCCGCACAGCATCAGCTGGGGACAGGGGACACTCAGCAGGGGACAGACAGGGCCCTGTGCCCACACTCTGAGCACCAACCCCTCTGGTGCCAGCCTTCACCTGGCCCAGGCGCCAGCACTGAGGTGTCTGGGACGAATTCCTTCCATCCAACAGGATGTTCTCTTGCCAATGAACCCAACGAGCCCCCCCAGACCCAACACCCGAGGCCGTACCCTCGTCAGCAGAGCTGATGGGCACAGAGCATGAGCAGGGTCACCATGTGCCACTTTCCACCCACATCCCCACCCCAGCTGCTAGCTCACCTCCAGCTCCTTCTCGTCGAAGTAGCGCAGCCACTCAAGTGGCACCACCTCGTTGAAGCCATCCAGGAACGCCTTGGTCTGCTCCTCCACGCCCCGTGTGAACCTCCAGTCTGTCAGCAGCCTGGGGAGGCACACGGGTCAGCACAGAGCCAGCACCGCTGGCCTGGCTCAGGGAAACCCCAGGATCCCTCCCACCAGCAGGGAGGGCCACAGGAGTGTGGGGAATGGGAGAGGGGCTCCCTTTAACTCGCACTGGTGGGTTTCTGTCTCTGCTCCCAAAGCCATGAGCAGCATTCAGTCCCGACAGCGGCCTTAGGAACTCCAGGGGTGCAAACCACATCCCCTGGCTGGAGCTGAGCTGGCCCTGGCAGCCCCCAGGCAGGCAGGGGGAACAGCCATGGGACGGGAGCGCAGCCTCAGCCTCTCTCCCCTCTCCTTTTTCCTGAAAGTACTGGCAAGTGCCCAGCCCGCAGCAATCCAGACCGCAGCAGAGCTCAGCCGACCGCGCCAGCCCGGGCCTGTCACAGGCCACGTAGCCAGGGAAGCGGCCACGTCCCAAGCCCCTGGTCCCACCCCTGCAGCCGCTGGGGGCGGGTGCCTGACAGGACCCTTGGGACAGCCACTCACATGATGTACTCCTCCTTGTTCTCCTCCGTCACACGGATGCTCTCACCACCCTCCTTCAGCTCGTGGGTGGTCACCTTGCCCAGGATCTCCATGTCCTGGATGAAGTACAGCTCCAGGCCGCACTCCTCCAGGCTGTTCTCCCTGCGGGGGACACCGGGATGTGAGTCCTGATGGAGGCAGCCAGCAGCAGTGAGGGGCTGTGGGGAGAGCTCTGCAGCAGGGCACTCACTTGGTCCAGACGATGGAGTTGTAGAACTCGGGGTCGATGGACTCCAGGTCCTTCAGCGTCGGGCGCTTGTTCAGCATCCGTTTGTAGAAGGGCAGCGTGAAGCCGGTATCGATGAACTTCCCGTGGTACAGAGCCTGTGGCAGGGAGGGGACACCAGGTCACGGGGGACCCTGGGACACAGCCCTGGGGCAAGACAATGCTCCACCCTGGGGCAGAAGGGAGTCATTTGGGGGTTCCTGAGCTGTGGCACTTGCTCCTGGCCGGCACACATGGAGGGGAAGGGTGGCCTGCCCCAACAGCGCTTCCCGGGCCAGGTGGGCTGCAGCCCCTCTCCCTCCCCACCACAAATTCCACTGCATCTCCCTCTCCCCTCACAGCTCTATTAAGAGCACTTGTTTAAACAGAGCTGTGCTGTGGCTTCCCTGAATCCCTGGCTTCCAGGAGCCCCGAGGCAAAGGCAGCCAAAAATAATGCAGACGCTTGTCTAGAACGGCCCAGCGGTGAGTAATAGTCTGGGGTTTTATTGGTATCCTGCGAGGCGGGGCAGGGCAGGGCAGGACAGCGGGGCCGGAGCCGCCTCCGCGCACACCCCGTGGGGCTGTGGGCCAGGGACCCTTCCCCGGGCTCAAGGAGCCCCCCTGCCAGCCCGGGGCACGCTGGCCTTGGGCAATCCGTGACAAAACGGGAGGAGCTGCTCTGGAGCTTGGGCAGCTGGAAAATCTCACACTGCTGTGTCTAAAAATAGTCCCTGGAGCTGCAGACCCAACAGCACCTGGGGTGAGAGCCAAAGACCTGGAGCCATCCCCTCCCCGCCACAACTCCTGGGAAACCAGCTCTCCTCTGGCCCCGCAGCCATTCCGTGGGTTTAAAACACATCACCCCACAGCATGCCCTTGAAGGCTCATCTCCCACGGACCCACACGTGGGCAAGAAGGGGCTCAGGGAGGGCAGCAGTGCCGAGCCCAGCGCAGGCACACACGAGGAGCTGCCCCTTGCCCTGCTGAGCAGCCTGTCCCCTGCCACAGGGGACACAAATGCTGCCATGCCCTGGCTCTCACCATGGCGATGAAGCGGCCGATGAAGCGGAAGTAGGTGAGGTGGTCGGGGTTGATGGAGGAGGCGGGGTTGATCTGCAGGCAGTAGTTGTTCTTGCCCGCGTACTCGAAGAGGCAGTACATGGGGTTGAGCACCTCGTGGGACAGGAGGAAGAACCACTCCCTGGCATGAGACAAGGGGAGCGCGGTGACAAGCAGCTCGGGGGGGACAGTGCGTGTCCCACCTCCTCAGGGTGCCAGGCAGGTGTAGGGCACTGCTGTGACCGGGCCAGGGTGTTTCCCCTCCCCGGGGTGCTGTGTGGGGTTTGTGAAGCGTTTCTGGAGACGCCAGCTTGCTGCAGGCCCCGCTCAGAGCATCGGGAACCTCGGCACGTGCCACGTGCAGTCCCAGCTGGGCTGCCCCACACATACACAGCCCCCGAGCGCACCCGGTCCCTCCGCACACGCTGCCCCGGGAGCCCCACGCCAAGCTCGGGACAGCACCATCCTGGCTTTGCTCCCCTGGCCGTGCAGGCAGGAATCCTCAGACGTGGAGGCAGCCCCGGCATCCCGTCCGTGGTTCTACCCTGTGGTAGAACAGCATGACGTAACCTACCATAGGGTAAAACCACTGGCAGGACACGGAGAGAGCTGGAGCAGGAGCAGGAGCCGGGCTAGCAGCCCCACGAAGGGCAGCAGGCGAGTGGGGGGGGGGCAGCGGGCAGGGACACGCTAACCCAGCTCCATGGAAATGTCCCAGGTGAGACAGAGGGGGCTCACAGGGACACAGGATCCCCTCCAGCCAAGCCACAGCCCATGCCCTGTAGTAACATCATCCCTGGGCAGCAGCAGAGCTGCAGCAACCACATCACAGCCTGTCTGCCCTGGCACACACTGTCTGGGAACACCAGGGCCTGTTTGCTCAGGGACACAAGGCCACTCAGCCCATGAGTCCCACAGCTGGGGGCAGCAGGGGGGCTCCAGCTGGGTCCCCTGTGCTCTCACCACCAGGGCCAGGCTGGTGCAATGCTTTCAGGGTGTTCCACTGCTCCTAAAACCCACTTTCCCATCGGAATGCCCCTGGACTCTGCTCAAGGGCTGGGAGCCCCAAGTGCAGCTGTCCTATGCCTGCACTGCCCACAGGACACGGCACAGGCAGGGCATGGCCCTGGGGCCCGGCGTGCCACGCTTACCTGGCGATGCCACCGTAGTCCAGGCCCTCCTCCCCTCGCATGATGATGTACAGCCGGCGCCGCAGGTCGTACGGCTTCATGTTCATGATCTGGGGATGAGCAGGCCAGTGTCACTCCCCCAGGGCCAGCTCCACTCCTGAGGGCCAGCTCCACTTCTGCCTGGCTCCACGGCCCCAGCACCCCCTTACCTGCTGGAAGGAGTCCTCGAAGAGCGTCTGCCGAGACACACTGATCTTCACGTGGCTGGGCAGCGCGTTTGACTGCAGGCAGGGCAAAGGCATGGGGCTGTGTGAGGCTGGCACGGCTCTCCTCACCCACACCTACCCACAGTGCTCAGGACACCCACACAGCTGCCCACAGCCGCTCTACTCACGTGGCAGAGGAAGCGGAACTGGTGGTACTTCCAACGAAAGCTCCGGTCGTACGCGCCCGGAGAGCCGCCGTGCTTGCTCCTGCCAAAGCAGCAGGGCCTCGGTCACACACCCTGCCCCCAGCAGCCCCCGTCACCAGCCAGGTGGGATAAGGGTCACTGGGGTGCAGCTCTCCTCTGTCAGAGGAGAGCCCCCAGCCCCGCTGCTCGGGGCTTACCCAGACTCGAAGCCCGGGCGCGGGTCCTTGAAGGTGGTGGTGCGGGTGTTGTGGTCCACAAAGTACCGCACGCTCTCGTTTGTGTACTTCATCTCCCAGCCCGGCGGCAGCGGCGGCTCCTGGATCATCCTGCTGGCAAGAAATGGCTCAGCAGACAGTCCCCCCCTCAACTACAGCTCTGTGCCAGGCAACAGGAAGGATCCATGGCATGGGACTGGTGAGCGACAGTCCACACCCCAGGAGAGGAGTCCTGCCTGGGCAGCACTCCGGCCACGGCACTGTCAGAGCTTCACTCTCCATCTGTGGGATGCGTGGCCTCAGTGCAGGCCAGGTCCCTGGAGAACTGCACCTTCCCAAACCCTGCTCCCTCCACGGCCGCCTACCCCTGCGTGCGAGGGTCTTCCCACTGCGTGGTCCGGGTGTTGTGGTTCACGTAATACACTCGCCCATTGTCCTGTCTCTTCTCTGGGAGAAAAGGGAGAGGAAGCATTAGCTGGAGTCCTGGGAACAGCCCTCCCCTTTCCAGATCACAGGAAATTTGTCAGCTCCCCCATTCCACCTCCCTGGCTCGTTTGGGAAAGCCAGGATAAACCCCACGTTCCTTCCGTGTGCCCGAGCCTCCTCAGCCTGGCAGTGCCAGTGTGCGGGAGGTGCCAGGGCAGAGGCCAGCGCTGCCACTGCGCTGCCAGGCTGGCACAGGGGCTGTGCTCAGCCACACAGCCTCGTGCACACACACAGCCCCTCCTGGGACACGCAGCAGCAGCCCTCCACATGGATCCACAGGCGCTTTCGCAAACTCCCCGCATGGCCTTGCTCCAGTGCACACGTGTGTGAACACACACCCGCTCCCTGGGCTGCACACAGGCACAAAACAGCTCCAGCACACACCCCAGCCAGCCCTGCACACACCCCCTGCCTCCACACACCTCCTCCTCCTCCTCCATGTGCAGCGCCACTCCCACACGCTCAGCCCCGCACCACGCAGGCAGGGACACCTTGTCACCTCCCTGTCACCCTTCTGGCCAGTGCCAGCCCCTCACTCCAATCCCTCCTGGACTGTGGGCAGCAGCCCCCAAATGATGGCCAGGACTGCATCCATCCCAAGGATCCCATCCATCCTGGGTTCTCCCACGCCAGGCTGCTCGGGCCCATGCAGAGCTGTGCCTGCCCAGCTGGGCATGGGTCCCTTCTCCTTGCTGATGGGAGGGGGGACACCCAGCAAGGGCTCCACCACCGCCCCCCATCATGACACTGCCCCTGCAGACTGCCTGAGCAGCCTTGGCCCCTCTGTCCTGCTCCAAGCTCACACAATTTTAACCCTTCTCCTGCTCTCTCTGGCACAGCACAGCCCAGCTGCACCCACAAGCATGCCAGCCTGCCCTCTCCAGGGATGCCCTCACCGTGGAGGGGGTCTCTCTCAACTGGGGGTGGCACAGGGACCTTTCAAAATGTCCTGGCACACAATGGGCCATGTGGGGACGAGCAGCTCTGCTCCTGCCAGCTCCCAGCCCTGCTCCAGACCCGGGCAGAGCATCCCGGGAGGCAGCACGGCAGCAGGACAGATCCCTGCTCGCCAGAGAAGCGGTCCAGGGACAAGCAAGGACTTCAATCCCCAAGCTTGGGATCTTCCCCAATTCAAAGAACAATCACAACCAATTTGGCATTCAGCAGCTGAGAGAGGCTGGGAACTCCTCCAAGAAAAGGGGAAAAAAGGCTGAATTTCACATAAGAGATTGTGCTAGTCACAGGCAGACACAGCCCCACGTGCAGCTGAGCACAGGGAGCTCCATGACCACCCTTCACCCTTCCCAGAAATGGCAGGGAGGGGATGGGATGGGCAGCTCCTGCCGCGGGTGACAGGAGTGTCCCCTGGGGCCATGCGGGGCCAGGTGAGGCAGTGCAGTACTTACCCCAGCCGGGAGGAAGGGGCCCCAGAGGATCATTGTCAGACGGGGCTCCGGAGGACTAGAGACAACAGAGAGAGCAAAAACACGGAATAAACCCCAGAGCCGGGATGGCTGGGAGGAGCAGAACATAGAGGTGAGCCGGCCAGCCCCGCTTCCACTCGCCTCTCCTTGGCCCACACCTCCCAGGGAACTAAAAAAACCAAAACCCTGCACACTCAAAGGGGGTTAAAAAAAGAAAAAAAAAAAGAAAAAAAAAAAAAAAAAAAATAAAAAAAAAAAAAAAAAAAAAA